TGTGATTTTTCCAAAACTTATTCCTGAGACCTTCAAGATACCTCCCAAGGAAACACTGCGATATGTTCCAGTACTGCATTTGTACATATGCATACATATAGTTTAGTTATACCTTTATATTAATTTTTTATACATCTCTCTCTCTCTCTCTCTCTCCTCTCTCTCTCTCTCTCTCTCTTCTCTCTCTTCTCTCTCTCTCTCTCTCTCTCTCTCTCTCTCTTTCTCTCTCTCTCTAATACTACCGCTACGCAGACGATAGCTCTGTGGAAGTTAGGACATTGACCGACTAGGACGTCTCAAAAGCACCTTTGAAGGACAGTCTGGCTTAAAATTACGAAAGAACGAAGTGTGCAAAACATAAAACACTTTCTTGACGTGACTCTTGATGGACAAGCACAGCGATTCCCAACGACTGCATACCGAAAACAGAATAACAACGAACGGTGCTTAAATGCTGACAGTGAGTGTCCTCGACGCTGTAACATTAGCGTAATAAGGTTCTTCATACACGCGCATTTAATCACTGCTCGATTGGACAGGACTATCTCATAATTGATAGGAATCAGATAGATCTTGGTGAACGACGGTTTTTCAAGTTCTGACGTTGAAAACGAAATGCAACGACAAATGACAAGACACTTCGATAGAAAACCAAGACAAGACATCCAACCAACCATCAACCTGTACTATCAAAACCAAATGACGTCTGCCCTCAAACAAGACAAAAAATCTTTACGGGAAATTATCTCTCGACATGGTAAAGGCAAAAACGACCACAAAATAGGCATGGTTATTTATTAATGTGGTAAGAAAATATCTAACTCTTGTGACAAACGGCCCAGACAAACCCGACAAACTAAAATACACCAATGTAGTGCATCAATTCAAATGCAACATCGAAGGCTGCAAACTTCGTTCCATACCTTACATTGGTGTGACTACAACGACACTCTCACGACGCGTGACAACGCACTTACCATGACGGGGCACCTCTGGACCACATGCGACACGAAGACGACGGGACATTGACACGAACGCAACTGACAGACAACATGACATTCTTTGGACGTACAATGACAGAAGACGCCTTCAAGCTTGGAAAATATTTAAATTAACTAACCCTTTGCAGCCCTAAACATACAAACAAATTCTTGCACAAAATCTTGAGCTATTAGGTGGTTGGTGGTGAGCACTATTGATGTGATTATGGCAATAGTATTCTCATTCTGTCTTTGTAGTGTTCCCGTTATGAGTGCATCTGACCTGTATCAAGGTGAAAAACGGATTCCGTTTAACTTCAGTTAGTTATGCTTCATTATGTTCTCCGTACCCAAAAAATGTGTCCCATTAGTAGTGCACACCGTGCAACATCCTAATTCAACGAGGTGAGTAACGCAACGCTTGATCACAATCGGTCAGTACGTTCCATGTACATACATCCCGAATGCGTTGCATGGGCCATGTCGGCATTGTCCTCTACGCCCTTCCCTGTGTGACTAAGCACTACTCCGTGCACCATTGGCACGTTCGTAAACAAGGTTGCGAGTTGATGATATCACCTTGTTCTTGTAAATGTCGCCCGTACATCACAGGCCAGTTCGCCTGACCTTTAGAGGGGACGGGATGATTGACGCCCCCTCCGCCCTCATGGTTCGTTTTTGCCAGTATAAAAAGCGACCAAAGGCGGCATGGCATATCCTTTTGAGTCGTCTCTCACCAACAATGCGACTGCTGCCATTGATTGTCGTGCTTTGTGTGGTGTTGGTGACCACTGAAGGTGAGTTACTGGTGTTTTTCTTGGCAATGTCCCTCTTGTGTTGGTCCGCGGCTATTGGGCAATGGAAGTATATGACAGATATGACAATAAAAAGCTCCATAAAGAGACCATGAAAGTATCTGTGTTAGCCGGGGCGTGGTAGCACCATACGGAGAGTTCTTGGTCCTCGTTCTGTAAAGGTGAAAAACTGTCGCAAATCCGTTGCAAAAATGAAGACCCTCAGGGACTTTAGGAAGTGTGTGACCATTAAAGAAGATTTTCAAAGTCACGCTGTGGTGAACAATGGGGATGGACCCTATGTAATGATTATGGTTGTACTTTCGGGCAGCCAAGTAGAGATATTTGTGTGTGGCATATATCGGATGTGAATAATTTATTGTAAGTCATTCCATCATACTGCACTGCCGATTTCCACCTTTATCACCGAACTTCCGTGGTTGCCAAAGCAGATACCACTGGTAGGTGGGAGCGACAGAGACAGCATGTCCCCAAAATAGCTGATGGGCCTTTTACCCGCCTTCATATGTTCTGTGAGGACCTATGGTGCTAGACGTCTGCGCGACAAAAACTGTCAGCTTTATGTCTCACTTCCTCACGTTTCTACGCCTACTTTTCTTTTTACCATGGTAAAGCTGGTGTGCCAATGATAGGACTATTTTGTAGCAAGCAGTCTCGCAAACTGTGATCTGACTATGCATCTAGGCAAACTATCCAGTTGATAAAATACCCCGTCTGAAGCTAGTACTCGTAGTAGCAGCTGCTATATTGAGCAGAATCGTTCTGGTCGACTGACCATCCCAAAATGTCTTGTACCAGCACCACCGGGATGTGCACCAACCGGGTGGTGCGAAATCAACCGGATTATTAATCTTGTTAAACCGGGCGTGTCCTAATTTAGACATAAGTAAAAATGCAAAAAGGTAAAGTGATCCCATTCAGTCCCTCGCGGGTATGTGTTCGTGAGGTATTCGGGGGGCAATCACACCTCAACCAGCCCAGGAGAATCATGTATTCCTTGTGGGCAGTCACGATTGTCTGTCTGATTGGTGTCAAAGCTTTGATCGAGCCTTTTTTATTGAGATCGTAAAGAGCCCTTTGGGTTCCTTCAGTAACGCATTAGGCCGCTAGCCACATGCCAGATCTGTACCTCAACTGTCAGCACTTTAGACCGTCGTGCATACAGACATTGCATCGTGCTAAATGACTCCTTGAGTTCTAGCACGTCAAAAGTGTGGCAGGCTTCAACCGTAAACAGAATTAACCAACCGGTGCATTGCAGGTGGCAGGTGTCGCAAATTCGGCAAGGCGTGTGGAAAATGGAACAGGGATGTCTGCCGCTGGTGTTGGAGACCTCACAAGCGTCTCTGCTGTCTTCCGGGCGACACATACGGTGCGTTCCAGTCGTTGTCGCCTGGTGCTGAGCAAACGTTGTCGCCATGGTGATGTGTGACGCTATGAACTACAAAACTTCAGCTCAAACTAGGGGTCGTTAGTAACATGTTCATGAACTGTTGTCATGCATCACATCAATAGCTTACATGTAAGGTCATCTCTTACGAGATGTGCTATTTAGTTCTAGCATACGCTCGGGTGTGTGTGAAGTTGCCCGGATGTTTTTTTTTCAAAATTGATTGTGAACGGCGCGGCGTGGTCACACAGAACTTTGCATAGCCGTAAAAATTTAAAGGCTGGATCTTTTGATATGCAAGATTTAGGCGTACTTTGCGAGGTCACTGACCTATTGCAGGCCAAAATCAGGCCGTGGCTCTCAGCGAATACCATTTCTAGAATTGGTGCATTTCTGAACCACTGTGGATTTGTGCTACTCGAAACCCCAGCTGAAGCGGAGGTTTACCGTGAGATACTTGTCAACTCATGTCATACATGGCGTCGATCGCTCGCCCATCAGGCTTTCTCTCATGAAGTGCACTCTTCAGGTTTCTTAGAGATGCAATATGCATTTCGAGCATTGCATTTGCTCATGTTAGCAGCGATTTTTTAGTCATAGGATGGTTGTCATAGATGGCATGCTTCTACATTCAAATTGGCTGACGCTATGTTCGTCGAAGCTACAACAACCTGCTGCAGAGGATTTAACATCCACAAATCCCTGCAAGCGACCGTTCTCTAATTTCAGGTGAGTGCGGGAGAAAATGCAGTTTCCCAAATACCTGCAGCACACTAAACGGCAACTGTCACAAAGGATGGTGCTGCGTATACTGCAAAGGAAAACATTGCAAGAAAGGCTAGCTGCACCACTTGCTGCGAGCTGCCGCTGTCGTCAAGGGATGGATAACGACTGCACTGACGCCAGATGTGAAGTGACTGCAAGCACAAGGAAGACCCATGCTATGTTGGTGGCGTAACAGCAAGGTCGTACGTAATTCTCAACAGGCGTTTATGCGAACCGGACACTTAGCTGCTTGTAGTTGGGCTTTACGTTGAATGCAATTACGGAACCAACTATTTGTTAGCATCTGTTGTGCCAGCTCAAGATGCATCGGCGCCGGTCCGTAAAGCATGGGTATTGTGGCGTGCAGTGCGAACGACACCTGGTCATCTGACAAACGTGTACTCGACGTCCTCAGGTACAAAGTAGGTCATTTTCAGTTTGACAAAATGCCCATATCAGCGTCTCATGGATCGACAGGTCCAGACACAGACTCCTTTCTCGCTTAAGGTTATGGAATTCGGTGCATGTAATTCGTTGAAATTGAAAACATTGAAAACTGCAGAACTCAGAACATGGACGTTTTCTGCGGCGATCGCCTGCTCCTCGATCTCCTGAACTGCGACATTCCGAGCATTGATTTCTCTAATCCAAAGTCTCTTAACTTTGACCTTGTACCAGACCTTTTGACATTGTATCGGCCGAAAAGGCCTCGAACACCTGAACGTAGGCCACCTTAGCCCCGAATATTTCAACATCGACCTTTTGTGTCTCGGTTTCCCGAGCTTCTCAGGTCTGGACCTTGGCCTTCTGAGCACGACCTCCAGATTCTTGAGCCAACCTTGAAGAAAATCGTAGGAAAGCCTAAATAGTTGAGTTTTTCATGGCCCCTAACTGTTGCCTGGAAAATTTGGGCATTTTTTTGCATCTGTACAGTTTTGTTCACTGGCTGCTTCCATTTAACAGACAACCCGGCATATTTTCCTTGTTAAGTAACAAGTTCGATTATCAAGGCTTTCGGTGAGGTTTTCGCTCCATGCATATCGATTTTACATCAGATTCCTTCAGCCAGATTAATGAGCATGGGTTGATGACTAGATGAGTCAACTTCGAAGAAAAACATAAGGGCCACCTTATAGCTATGATTTCTTCCAACTATTTCAACTTACCTCTTGACAAGATGCGTGATGATCGTTTTCACATTTCATTTCCATCGTTTGTGTTGGGGTTTATCAGTGTTTTCATTTGATATGCGGCGCGGCCTACGCATGCTGTAACGCCGTTACACAAGCGAAACATTCTCTTAGATAGTTTTCCTACGTGATTTCGCCGTTCTAAAGATGGTCCGTATGGTTTCTGCAGCCATCAAAACGAGCATCGGTCGACGGTCTAATAAATTGCTATAAAAAAGCCCACAGGCAGCCCCATAGACAAAACGTTTTGCCGATCGTGTACATCTTCCACTCTAGGCACGGTAGGTCATATTTGTAGGCATCGCTGCCTTTGCATCAACAGGAGTTTCCACGAGATGATGCAGCTGGCCAGAATTTTGACTTCCTCGGGGAGATATTGGTCCGTAAAGTGCATGAGTGGTGCCAAATCTAGGCTGAATCTGGAGTAAGATACGCTGCAATATTGTTCCAGGCTATAAATTGATAGGATAATACGGGTAATTTATGTATCATTCATAACTAAGTATACAACGCTGAGCATTTGACGTAAAAGCTGTCTACTGGATGTCACTCTATAGAATCCAATTTCCTAACAAACAGAAGTGTTCCACATTGCTGTTTTGACCTGAACTAGCTATCTTGAGGACCTTTCGATACTGTTCACAATCCTGCCCTTTTTAAGACATTAGCCTCTCTAGCTTCTGAGCTATACGCCCACGACAGTGGGAAAGCTGCATCGGCAGAGTATTTCAAGGTCATCTTGGTATCCATGACGTAACCATATCGTCATTCAAATTCTGTCGTTCCAAAAGCCATGCAATGATTAATACGCGCACGGGTGACCGGTTGGACACCCTTCGCTCGGGTGGGAGTCAGTTTGACCCTGTGAGATCCCAGGAACTAAGAGAGAACTAAGGTCAATACTCACAGGGTGTATTGAATTATACGTGAACTCACTTGGATTAAATATTGAGGCTCCTAGGTCATGAACTTTGAGTGAAATCGGGTCAAGCAATGTCAAATTCCAGGGTAGTCTCCAAAGGGCTCCTAGAATATAGATGACTGTTCTAAGCAAAACCTCACATGCCTATTTCACGTCAGCGACCTTTTTGGACATTTTGAAGATCATGGTGACCAAAATCATACAAGACCGAATCAAGCTATGACGCGTTGAGGAGCATATTTACTACACAGAGCATTGTGTTGTCTACATCAGTCTTTTCCACTTAAGACGCATACCAACAGTTATAAGTGAGCTTACGTCATCATGTCCAGCGCTTGCTTTAATATTTTCAAATGTAGAGCATTCTATTTCAAGCGTATCTTGTTCCGTTTGAACCCGACCGAACTCATATATGCGCCATGTTTCACATGTGCATTCAACGTCCGAATCGTTCACAACAAATGCGGCTCTCTGTCTGCCTTAGCTCCATGGGAGCGACACCAATAATCGCGGAAAAGAAATACCAAAATCGCATCGCAACCTTAATGCCTTCAAACTTTATTATTCAAGGTGAGTAAAGCACCGCTTTATGGTATGGGAACACGCTGCGTGTACACACATTCTGAACGCCCTCGATAGGCCGTGTCGGCATTGTCCTCTACATTCTGCACAGTATGACTGAGCAGTGCTCCGTCTGCCATCGCCAAGCTCGTAAACAATAGTTGCAGTTAATGATTTCACCTCGTCAATGCAAATGTAACCGAACATTTTAGCTCGTTGACCTTTGGATGGGCGGGAATGATCAACTTCCCCTCCGCTTCCTGATCTGTGTTCACCGCTATATAAGGTGGTCAAAGGTAATCTAAGCATATTCTGTTCGGCGCCCCTCGCCAATCATGCGTCTGCTGACATTGATTGTCGTGTTTTGTCTGGTGCTGGTGACCATTGAGGGTGAGTTGCTGGTGGTCTTCTTGGTGAAGTTCGCCCGTGTTGGTTGAGGCTGTTTGACAGCGAAGGGATTATTAGAAATGACAAGGAATAGGTTGATAAGGTAGCTGCGGGAGCATTCTGTCAGTCGGGGCACCGCAGTACTGAACGGAGAGCTCATTGCGCCCGTGCTGTGAACGATATAAACTGTTGCAAGTCCACCTTCAAACAAGAAATTAAATCCATTAAGTGGCTTGGAGGGGTGCAAGATACTTAAAGAGAGCGTAATGCTGTTGAAAAATATTACAAAGCCATGCTCTGATGATCCATTGAAACCTTGTCATTGAACCCCTGTCATTAATCTTAACAGCACGCAGCGGCGCGGAGGTTTCGTCAAGAGGATATTACCAGCACATTCATGTTTTGTTTCTTAGTCAAACTTATGTGGTCAACATTTCAAAACGATGCAACCTTTTTATTGGACGACACTGGCGCACGCAGACAGTACCGGGAACATCAGGCTCACGGTAGTTCTCGGTAGTTCAAGTTTCTACGTAGTTCAACTTTCTAAGTAGCTCAAGTTCCTACTTAGCACGTGAATTGCAAAGGAAGGCTGCCGTAGCGTAAGTGTTATCTCTTTCTACATGCGATGGCTACGTTTCCAAAGCTATCGCAAGCTTTTTATAGAAAGCCATTTTCACCTCAAATAATCGTCTGGTTACCGAAAACAATCAAGATATTATAATTCAATGAAAAAATAGCAACGCACTGTTCCACCGGCGAAAAAGGTCTTGTTCTTAATGTCCTATGTTCCGTTGGCGCCAATAGCATAAAAAGCACAAAGTAATGTATGACGCCAATATAGGAATAAAAACGTTATTGTGTTGTGCCACTGCCGTGATGGCAAACACAAATGTGGTTTACCGGGTTCAGAAATGTGCTTACATTGTTGTTTCATCCATTTGTTTCCCTAGTTCAGCACGTCAGTATGTATGGTTTACTGGGTCACAAAGTCGCCGGATGATTTTTAATGCACTTGAGCCAGGCATATAGAGAGTGGAAAGTTTGAAGAAATGTACGACCTTTCTTGTCGTTCCTATACCAACGGCCACATCCTTGAATACATCAGTCCCTTAACACGCGCTCGGGTGGGAGGGGTCAAATTGCACCCCCTCCCCGAAAATTTTTCCCGAATGGTTCCGAACAATTCCCGGTCCCTGATCCGTAAAGATGAAAACTGTTGCAAAACAAGCTGCAAAAGTGAAGTCAGCAAGAGGAGTCTTTCTAGGGCGGCAAGGAACCCTCAAAGGGGAAGTTAAGTGGTCAGGCAGTGTATCGGATCCTTTCTTTGTACATGATGGTATGCGTCAAGGGGGTAACGTCTTACCACTGCTGTTCAATGTGTACATAGTTTAGCCTCTTTGTGAGTTGTAAATGTTACCAATCGGTTGTTATGTGGTGAAATGTACAGCGAATGAACTAGTCTCTGCTGTTGACAGGGTGCTTTTATCTACCACGAGGAGAGGGCTTGGAGCGTTGGCTCGGATACGCAAAGGATTTGCCATGCAGCAGAAATATTCAAATCAATAAAGAAAGCTGTGCATGTATTTCAACTCTCAAAGATCATATACAGTGCCACACCTGTCTAACTCAAGCTCCCCAACATCATTGTTAATGAATACATAATAGCATGAGCGGAGGAGCTTAAACATAGGCCTTTTAGTGGCCAGTTCTCTCAGTGGCAGTCATGTTATGCGAAGAGTTAAAGTGTCCTTGTATAACGGCAGAAAACTTTGATCTAACTGTTCCAAGCATATTATACCAGCGTGTATATTGTGAACTGTGCAACACTGTGAATGGAAAGAAAGGATTTCGAGAACGCTGTATGGCCTACCACTTATATAAAGAGAAGCTGGTAAGGGTGCCGCGGTGGACAAGGATTCATTATCTGTGTAAAAAGCTTGAACCTCTACCTATGGATATCTGGGAACAGCTTCTATGGATATGTGGGAAACGATCTCACCTTAAGCAGTGCTTGTTGTGTGAGCTCTGACCCCTGCCATCCGATCGCGCGATTCCAGGCAACGGCAGAATTTCATGGCGTACGTTTAACGTGCCGCAATGCTCGGCACGGTCCGTCCTGCCCTCTGACGTCACCTGACCTTTATCGCGGCCGCTGCCACCGGCCGCAGGCAATACCTGACAAGGACAAATAGAGAGCGCTCCAAACGACGCGAACGCACCCTGGCATGGGTGCCAGAATCGGAAGATAGGAGCTCTTACCAACTGAACGAACGGGACGGGAAAGTCTTGTCCCAGGTTAGCACCTATATAGTAGCTGGAGTTCAACCAAATACTCGTGTCCTGTTGAGAACAGCATTGTTGAGGCATTGCACGTAAGCAAGTAGAGGTTAGTGGGGTCATTGCCAGGACATGTGCGCATGCGAGACATGCATATAATTTTATGGCATCGAACCTTCCGGCAGTCAGCAGGTCACATGTTCGGGACATCTTTCCGCCCACCTGGGTCGGTTTGTCCGTGATCACCACCAAATGCACCAAGTAGGTCATGACCCAGAATAATGTCCTCCGACCTTTCAGGCAAGTACTGACTGCATTGCCTTCTGCCTTGATTTATGCTTGTGAGTGTGCTACGTTTGTCCTTTATGTGCGAAGATAGGTACCAGTCTGATGGTGGAAAAAGAACTGGATTATTAATACCCTTATTGCTATTAAACCAGACGTCTCTGATCTACCTCTCCGCAAAAGGTGCAAAAAGGTAAGATGATCCATTTGAGACCCCCAACGGGCGTGGGCATCAGGTATCGAGGCGGTATTCGCCCCCGAACGTACCCAGGAAAATCACGCTCCTGTGAGCAGTCACGATCATATGGTGTCAAATCTTTGATGGTAAAATAGCCTTTTGGTTCTCTGGAGCAATGTATACTCATATGCCAAATCTACGTCACAATTTCCAGCATTTCAGACCGTCATGCAAACAGAAGTTATATCGTACTGAGTGACTCCATGAGTTCAAGGACGCTTAAGTCCTGGCAGGTTTCAGTCGTATTGGGAAGTAACCAACTCATGCATTGCAGGTCGAAAATGTTACAAATTCGGCCAGGCGTGCGGAAGATGGAACAGGGATGTCTGCCGCTGGTGCCGGAAACCTCACAAGCGTCTCTGCTGTCGCTCGGGCGACACCTTCGGTACGTTCCAGCCTTTGCCACCTGGTGCAGAGCAAACGTGTCGCCATGGTGATGTAGTTGTGACGCTATAGAGTACGAAACTTCAGTTCAGATTAAGGGCTGTTAATAACATGTTCATGAACTGCTATCATGCACTGCATCGATAGCTCACAATGTAAGGTCTTACCTTAGGAGATGTGCTATTCGTCTTAACACACGCTCGGGTGTGGGTGAAGTTGACCCCGATTGTTTTTTTTTAATGGATTGCGAACGGTGCGACGTAGTGACGCCCAACCTTGCATAGCCGAAGACAATTAACTGCTGGATCTTTTGGTGTACCAAAATTAAATGTACCTTGTGACGTCGCTGAGCTGTGGCAGGTAAAATCAGGCCGTGGCTATCAGCGAAGGCCATTTCGAGGAAATCGTTCATTTGTTAACTTTATAAACACAACTTGCATTGAACGAGGCCAGATATAAAGATAATACCAAGGCCAAGACCAAACTTTTTTATTCGAGGGCTTGCTTGTTGAGGTGGTTTTTGGCGCTCATTTTGAACTTAACAATGATTGGACATACATGATCCATGGACGTATAAAAGGTCAGATTAGTTCACTGACCTAAAATGACGAAAATTGATATTTTACTTGTATAAACGTACTGCCTTGCTGCATTTCTGGGGCTTTTCTATGCCCGAAAGGGAGTCAATCTTCTAGATTTTTTATCACTGTGACCTTCTTGTGGTCAAACAAGGTCACCAACCTTAAATTGGCTGGACGCACGGCGGTTACATGAAGGGGTCTGGAGACAATAACCTGGAGCTTGACCTTGTTTGACCTCGTTTGACCACAAGTATGTGACGTAAGAAAGCAAAATTTTGACACAAGTGAGTCCGTATACAAACAACTCACTCTGTCAATATCGTGCCTCTAGTTCTCATATTGTTCTGAGATGGCAGCGGGTCAAATCGACCACCACCCGAGCGAAGGGTATTGAACCGACCACCGCGGCGTTAAAGATGGGTGTTAACGAATGTTCAAGATGCCATTAGCGTTTGGACTGTGTTCATTTTCAGATCATAGCGTGCCCATATCAGATGCGTTTTCGCGTCGAGAGCATAGGAACATTGCTATGAATAATACGTGCTTATTTTTACGATAAATGACGAAATATTTGTTGACGTTGCACACCATTTATTTTGTAATATCCACCATGCACCCATTGTGACAACCGATCACTCTCTCATTTCAGAGGAATGCAAAGCAAAATGCCACTACCCATATCAATGCCGCACATTAGGAGGAACGTGTACCAAAGGATGGTGCTGTCCTCTGTACTATCTGTAGACGGCCGCCACGTCGAAGACACCGATGTTTCAGGTGAACTATATTTCATGACCGCCCATCGCCAACACCGCGCCTCAACTCCTCGTGGACGCTGACAGGGAAACAACGAAACCTCGGAAATGGACAGACTAGAGCTGGAACTTAACAGAAAGGAAACAGACCGAACGGAGACTAAAATTAACAATACAAAATGAAACGAAAATAGCATGGATTAACTAACACTTAATGAGACCTTAAGATAATAGCAAACTAAGTGACTCAGCAAACGAGAAGCGAGCACTAATTCAAACTAGAAATGCAAACGGTACACCGACTATATTTCGAAGCCATTGATAGACAGGTAAGCTGTACCGGCGAGTACCGGCTGCCAATGTCGTCAAGGGATGGATGAAAACTATAATGATGTTGATACATGCGTACGATAATCCGTCACTGCATGCACATCTAATTCATGTTTTATGTTGTTGGCAGTTAGACGAGGCCATATGCGATTCTTTGCACATGTTTAAGTAAACCGCACAATCAGCTTCTTGTGAAAGAGCGTTGCATGAAATACAACTACGGCGTCTTGTATATATTTGCATGCGTTGTGCCAGTTTAAAACATCGAGGCGACGGCTCGCAAAAGGTGACCGTGGAAGCACGGTATCGCGGAGAACGCCATACTGCAGTAGTCTTCCCGCAACAAGAACCTAACGAGATGCTATCAAGAATAGAACATTTTGGGGTTGGTTTTTCTTGGCGGTGGTATCCAGATTTGCATAGTTTGCATCTCAAATGGGAGTGTCCACGCCAGGACCGGAAGACCCAGCTACAAACTCCCCGGTCTCTAAAGACCAGGTCTCCATCACACATCTTCCGGGGCACCGCAAGTATTCTGAGCTCCAACAATCCCAGCAGCAACCTTTATAGCGATGACCGTTCGTACATCAATCTTTACGCCGCCGTGCATCGGTCTTTGTGCCGCCGTAATAGGGTAGGTGCATGCTGCGAACATCAGCTTTTTATTGTCCATTGTCAGTGCCTCGATCTCCTGAACAGAGGGGGAGATTGTCTATAACTTTTCTCCCAGACAACGTAGGTGATATTTTTGTGTGCCTTTGACGGGGTCAAAGAGAGTGTTCAGACGATCATGCACCTTGCTTGGAATTCGGTGCACGTAATCCGTTGAAATTACAAACATTGAAAACTGCAGCACTCAGAACATGGACGTTTTCTGCGGCTATCGCCAGCTCCTCGATCTCCTGAACCGCGACATTCTGAGCATTGATTTCTCGAATCCAAACTCTCTTAACTTTGACATTGTACCAGACCTTTGACATTGTATCGGCCGAAAGGGCCTCGAACACCTGAACGTAGGCCAACTTGGCGCAGAATATTTCAACATCGACCTTCTGTGTCTCGGCTTCCTGAGTTCTCAGGTCTGGACCTTGGCCTTCTGAGCATAACCTCCGGATCCTTGAGCCAACCTTCAAGAAAATCGCAGGAAAGCCTAAAGATTTGAGTTTTTTATGGTCTCTAACTTTGCCTGGAAAATTTGGGCATTTTTTGCATCTGTGCAGTTTTGTTCACTGGTGCTTCCATTTAACAGAAAACTAGGCATATTTTTCTCGTTAGGTAAGTAACAAGGTCGATTATCAAGGCTTTCGGGGAGGTTTTCGCTCCCCGAGTATCGATTTTCCATCAGATTCCTTCACCCAGACTAATGAGCATGGGTTGATGACTAGATGAGTCAACTTCGAAGAAAAACGTAAGGGCCACCCTATAGCCATCATTTCTTCCAACCATTTCAACCTACCTCTTCACAAGATGCGTGATGATCATTTTCACATTCCATTTCCATGGTTTGTCTTGGGGCTTATTACTGTTTTCATTTGATATGCAGCGCCTCCTACGCATGCTGTAACGCCGTTACACAAGCGAAACATTCTCTTAGATAGTTTTCCTACGTGATTTCGCCGTTCTAAAGATGGTCCATATGGTTTCTGCAGCCATCAAAACGAGCATCGGTCGACGGTCTAATAAATTGCTATAAAAAAGCCCACAGGCAGCCCCATAGACAAAACGTTTTGCCGATCGTGTACATCTTCCACTCTAGGCACGGTAGGTCATATTTGTAGGCATCGCTGCCTTTGCATCAACAGGAGTTTCAACGAGATGATGCAGCTGGCCAGAATTTTGACTTCCTCGGGGAGATATTGGTCCGTAAAGTGCATGAGTGGTGCCAAATCTAGGCTAAATCTGGAGTAAGATACGCTGCAATATTGTTCCAGGCTATAAATTGATAGGATAATGCGGGCAATTTATGTATCATTCATAACCAAGTATACAACGCTGAGCATTTGACGTAAAAGCTGTCTACTGGATGTCACTCTATAGAATCCAATTTCCTAACAAACAGAAGTGTTCCACATTGCTGTTTTGACCTGAACTAGCTATCTTGAGGACCTTTCGATACTGTTCACAATCCTGCCCTTTTTAAGACATTAGCCTCTCTAGTTTCAGAGCTATACGCCCACGACAGTGGGAAAGCTGCATCGGCAGAGTATTTCAAGGTCATCTTGGTATCCATGACGTAACCATATCGTCATTCAAATTCTGTCATTCCACAAGCCATGCAGTGATTTATACGCGCACGGGTGACCGGTTGGACACCCTTCGCTCGGGTGGGAGTCAATTTGACGCTGTGAGATCCCAGGAACTAAGAAAGAATACACAAAACTCACAGGGTGTATTGACCTATACGTGAACTCATTTAGATTAAATATTGAGTCTCCTAGGTCATGAACTTTGAGTGAAATCGGGTCAAGCAATGTCAAATTCCAGGGTAGTCTCCAAAGGGCTCCTAGAATATAGATAACTGTTCTAAGCAAAACCTCACATACCCATTTCACGTCAGTGACCTTGTTTGACATTTTGAAGATCATAGTGACCAAAATCATACAAGACCGCCTTAACTTTTGCATTGGGATAAGCGACAAAGATTGCGCTAGGCATATGTTCCTAAAAACAAAATGCCAACCTGGGTCATTCTAGGTCACTGACATATTCAGACCTTACGGAAGTACATGGAAGGTGTATAATACGGTTCCAGTTATCAATAAATTCGAAATAAGCACCAGGAACTACCCCATACATCAAACGCTAGAGTAATAAAACATGTTGTGATTGACCATTGTCTGACCCTCATACCTGACCTTAGGTCAGTGTAATTTGTTCATTCAATAGCTGTGTTGGCTAAGAAAGCATCTTAGAGATGTATGGCTTCGTCTAACACTCTAACGTTGTTGGATAAGGCTGAACGATTCCTTCGAAATTGCCTTCGCTGAAACCATGGCCTTACTTTGACCCACCATAGGTCAGCGACCTTGCAAGGACATCTAAACGTTTGATCCCCGACGATCCGCTATTCAATTTTCTACAGCTATGCAAAATTTGACGCGACTACGCCGTGTCGTTCGGAAATTATTCCACAAAAACATTCGGGGGAGGGGTCAATTTCCCCCCTCCCCCGAGCGTGTGTTAAAGCCAAACAAATCTTATTGTCGGGGCGTTTATATCTGACATTCGGGAGCGCGATTTCCAGATGTGACATCCGTCAATTGGCTTCCAATCGATGTTGTGCAAGGTGCAATCACGTAATCAAGCTATGATGCACTGAGGAGCATATTTACTACACAGAGCATAATGTTGTCTACAACAGTCTTTTCCACTTAAGAAGCATATCAACAGTTATAAGTGAGCTTATGTCATCATATCCAGCGCTTGCTTGAATATTTTCAAATGTAGAGCATTCTATTTCAAGCGTATCTTGTTTAGTTTAAACCCGACCGAACTCATATTTGCGTCATGTTTCACATGTGTATTCAACGTCCGAATCGTTCACAACAAATGCGGCTCTTTGTCTAGCTCAGCTCCATGGAAGCGACACCAAAAATCACGGAAAAGAAATACCAAAATCGCATCGCAACCTTAATGCCTTCAAACTTTATTATTCAACGTGAGTAAAGCGCCGCTTTATTGGATGGGAACAAGCTGCGTGTACACACATTCTGAACGCCTTCGATGTGCCATGTCGGCACTGTACTCTACATTCTGCCCGGTATGACTGAGCAGTGCTCCGTCTGCCATCACCACGCTCGTAAACAAGGGCTGCAGTTAAGGATTTCACCTCGTCAATGCAAATGTCATCGAACATTTTAGCTCGTTGATCTTTGGAGGGACGGGAATGATCGACTCCCCTCTGCTTCCTGATCCGTGTTCACCGCTATATAGGGCGATCAAAGGTAACCTAAGCATATTCTGTTCGGTGCCCCTCGCCAATCATGCGTCTGCTGACATTGATTGTCGTGTTTTGTCTGGTGCTGGTGACCATTGAGGGTGAGTTGCTGGTGCTCTTCTTGGTGAAGTTCGCCCGAATTGGTCGAGGCTGTTTGACAGCGAAGGAATGATTAGAAATGACAAGGAAAAGGTCGATAAGGTAGCTGTGGGAGCATTCTGTCAGTCGGGGCGCCGCAGTACTGAACGGAGGGCTCCTTGCGCCAGTGCTGTGAACGATATAAACTGTTGCAAGTCCACCTTCAAACAAGAAATTAAATCCATTAAGTGGCTTGGAGGGGTGCAAGATACTTAAAGAGAGCGTAATGCTGTTGAAAAATATTACAAAGCCATGCTCTGATGATCCATTGAAACCTTGTCATTGAACCCCTGTCATTAAGCTTAACAGCACGCAACGGCGCGGAGGTTTCGTCAAGAGGATATTACCAGCACATTCATGTTTTGTTTCTTAGTCAAACATATGTGGCCAACATTTCAAAACGATGCAACCTTTTTATTGGACGACACTGGCGCACGCAGACAGTACCGGGGATATCAGGCTCACGGTAGTTCTCGGTAGTTCAAGTTTCTACGTAGTTCAACTTTCTAAGTAGCTCAAGTTCCTACTTAGCATGTGAATTGCAAAGGAAGGCTGCCGTAGCATGAGTGTTATCTCTTTCTACATGCGATGGCTACGTTTCCAAAGCTATCGCGGGCTTTTTATAGAAAGCCATTTTCACCTCAAATAATCGTCTGGTTACCGAAAACAATCAAGACATTATAAATCAATGAAAAAATAGCAAAGCACTGACACTGTTCCACCGGCGAAAAAGGTATTGTTCTTAATGTCCTATGTTCCATTGGTGCCAATAGCATAAAAGGCACAAGGTAATGTATGACGCCAATATAGGAATAAAAACGTTATTGTGTTGTGCCACTGCCATGATGGCAAACACAAATGTGGTTTACCGGGTTGAGAAATGTGCTTACATTGTTGTTTCATCCATTTGTTTCCCTAGTTCAGCACGTCAGTATGTATGGTTTACTGGGTCACAAAGTCGCCGGATGATTTTTAATGCACTTGAGCCAGGCATATAGAGAGTGGAAAGTTTGAAGAAATGTACGACCTTTCTTGTCGTTCCTATACCAACGCCCACATCCTTGAATACATCAGTCCCTTAACACGCGCTCGGGTGGGAGGGGTCAAATTGCCCCCCTCCCCGAAAATTTTTCCCGAATGGTTCCGAACAATTCCCGGTCCCTGATCCGTAAAGATGAAAACTGTTGCAAAACAAGCTGCAAAAGTGAAGTCAGCAAGAGGAGTCTTTCTAGGGTGGCAAGGAACCCTCAAAGGGGAAGTTAAGTGGTCAGGCAGTGTATCGGATCCTTTCTTTGTACATGATGGTATGCGTCAAGGGGGTAACGTCTTACCACTGCTGTTCAATGTGTACATAGTTTAGCCTCTTTGTGAGTTGCAAATGTTACCAATCGGTTGTTATGTGGTGAAATGTACAGCGAATGAACTAGTCTCTGCTGTTGACAGGGTGCTTTTATCTACCACGAGGAGAGGGCTTGGAGCGTTGGCTCGGATACGCAAAGGATTTGCCATGCGCAGAAATATTCAAATCAATAAAGAAAGCTGTGCATGTATTTCAACTCTCAAAGATCATATACAGTGCCACACCTGTCTAACTCAAGCTCCCCAACATCATTGTTAATGAATACATAATAGCATGAGCGGAGGAGCTTAAACATAGGCCTTTTAGTGGCCAGTTCTCTCAGTGGCAGTCATGTTATGCGAAGAGTTAAAGTGTCCTTGTATAACGGCAGAAAACTTTGATCTAACTGTTCCAAGCATATTATACCAGCGTGTATATTGTGAACTGTGCAACACTGTGAATGGAAAGAAAGGATTTCGAGAACGCTGTATGGCCTACCACTTATATAAAGAGAAGCTGGTAAGGGTGCCGCGGTGGACAAGGATTCATTATCTGTGTAAAAGCTTGAACCTCTACCTATGGATATCTGGGAACAGCTTCTATGGATATGTGGGAAACGATCTCACCTTAAGCAGTGCTTAGTTGTGTGAGCTCTGACCCCTGCCATCCGATCGCGCGATTCCAGGCAACGGCAGAATTTCATGGCGTACGTTAACGTGCCGCAATGCTCGGCACGGTCCGTCCTGCCCTCTGACGTCACCTGACCTTTATCGCGGCCGCTGCCACCGGCCGCAGGCAATACCTGACAAGGACAAATAGAGAGCGCTCAAACGACGCGAACGCATCCCGGCATGGGTGCCAGAATCGGAAGATAGGAGCTCTACCAACTGAACCAACGGGACGGGAAAGCCTTGTCCCAGGTTAGCATCTATATAGTAGCTGGAGTTCAATCAAATACTCGTGTCCGTTGAGAACAGCATTGTTGAGGCATTGCATGTAAGCGAAGCAGGGGTTAGTGGGGTTATTGCCAGGACATGTGCGCATGTTAGACATGCATATAATTTTATGGCATCGAACCTCCCGGCAGTCAGCAGGTCACATGTTCCGGACATCTTTTCGCCCACCTGGGTCGGTTTGGCCGTGATCGCCACCAAATGCACCAAGTAGGTCATGACCCAGAATAATGTCCTCCGGACCTTTCAGGCAAGTACTGACTGCGTTGCCTTCTGCCTTGATTTATGCTTGTGAGTGTGCTACGTTTGTCCTTTATGTGCGAAGATAGGTACCAGTCTGATGGTGGAAAAAGAACTGGATTATTAATACCATTATTGTTATTAAACCAGACGTCTCTGATCTACCTCTCCGCAAAAGGTGCAAAAAGGTAAGATGATCCATTTGAGACCCCCAAGAGGCGTGGGCATCAGGTATCGAGGCGGTATTCGCCCCCGAACGTACCCAGGAGAATCACGCTCCTGTGAGCAGTCACGATCATATGGTGTCAAATCTTTGATGGTAAAATAGCCTTTTGGTTCTCTGGAGCAATGTATACTCGTATGCGAAATCTACGTAACAATTTCCAGCATTTCAGACCGTCATGCAAACAGAAGTTATATCGTACTGAGTGACTCCATGAGTTCAAGGACGCTTAAGTCCTGGCAGGTTTCAGTCGTATTGGGAAGTAACCAACTCATGCATTGCAGGTCGAAAATGTTACAAATTCGGCCAGGCGTGCGGTAGATGGAACAGGGATGTCTGCCGCTGGTGCCGGAAACCTCACAAGCGTCTCTGCTGTCGCTCGGGCGACACCTTCGGTACGTTCCAGCCGTTGCCACCTGGTGCAGAGCAAACGTGTCGCCATGGTGATGTAGTTGTGACGCTATAGAGTACGAAACTTCAGTTCAGATTAAGGGCTGTTAATAACATGTTCATGAACTGCTGTCATGCACTGCATCGATAGCTCACAATGTAAGGTCTTACCTTAGGAGATGTGCTATTCGTCTTAACACACGCTCGGGTGTGGGTGAAGTTGACCCCGATTGTTTTTTTTTAATGGATTGCGAACGGTGCGACGTAGTGACGCCCAACCTTGCATAACCGAAGACAATTAACTGCTGGATCTTTTGGTGTACCAAAATTAAATGTACCTTGTGACGTCGCTGAGCTATTGCAGGTAAAATCAGGCCTTGGCTATCAGCGAAGGCCATTTCGAGGAAATCGTTCATTTGTTAACTTTATAAACACAACTTGCATTGAACGAGGCCAGATATAAAGATAATACCAAGGCCAAGACCAAACTTTTTTATTCGAGGGCTTGCTTGTTGAGGTGGTTTTTGGCGCTCATTTTGAACTTAACAATGATTGGACATACATGATCCATGGACGTATAAAAGGTCAGATTAGTTCACTGACCTAAAATGACGAAAATTGATATTTTGCTTGTATAAACGTACTGCCTTGCTGCATTTCTGGGGCTTTTCTATGCCCGAAAGGGAGTCATTCTTCTAGATTTTTTATCACTGTGACCTTCTTGTGGTCAAACAAGGTCACCAACCTTAAATTGGCTGGACGCACGGCGGTTGCATGAAGGGGTCTGGAGACAATAACCTGGAGCTTGACCTTGTTTGACCTCGTTTGACCACAAGTATGTGACGTAAGAAAGCAAAATTTTGACACAAGTGAGTCCGTATACAAACAACTCACTCTGTCAATATCGTGCCTCTAGTTCTCATATTGTTCTGAGATGGCAGCGGGTCAAATCGACCACCACCCGAGCGAAGGGTATTTAACCGACCACCGCGGCGTTAAAGATGGGTGTTAACGAATGTTCAAGATGCCATTAGCGTTTGGACTGTGTTCATTTTCAGATCATAGCGTGCCCATATCAGATGCGTTTTCGCGTCGAGAGCATAGGAACATTGCTATGAATAATACGTGCTTATTTTTACGATAAATGACGAAATATTTGTTGACGTTGCACACCATTTATTTTGTAATATCCACCATGCACCCATTGTGACAACCGATCACTCTCTCATTTCAGAGGAATGCAAAGCAAAATGCCACTACCCATATCAATGCCGCACATTAGGAGGAACGTGTACCAAAGGATGGTGCTGTCCTCTGTACTATCTGTAGACGGCCGCCACGTCGAAGACACCGATGTTTCAGGTGAACTATATTTCATGACCGCCCATCGCCAACACCGCGCCTCAACTCCTCGTGGACGCTGACAGGGAAACAACGAAACCTCGGAAATGGACAGACTAGAGCTGGAACTTAACAGAAAGGAAACAGACCGAACGGAGACTAAAATTAACAATACAAAATGAAACGAAAATAGCATGGATTAACTAACACTAAATGAGACCTTAAGATAATAGCAAACTAAGTGACTCAGCAAACGAGAAGCGAGCACTAATTCAAACTAGAAATGCAAACGGTACACCGACTATATTTCGAAGCCATTGATAGACGGGTAAGCTGTACTGGCGAGTACCGGCTGCCAATGTCGTCAAGGGATGGATGAAAACTATAATGATGTTGATACATGCGTACGATAATCTGTCACTGCATGCACATCTAATTCATGTTTTATGTTGTTGGCAGTTAGACGAGGCCATATGCGATTCTTTGCACATGTTTAAGTAAACCGCACAATCAGCTTCTTGTGAAAGAGCGTTGCATGAAATACAACTACGGCGTCTTGTATATATTTGCATGCGTTGTGCCAGTTTAAAACATCGAGGCGACGGCTGGCAAAAGGTGACCGTGGAAGCACGGTATCGCGGAGAACGCCATACTGCAGTAGTCTTCCCGCAACAAGTACCTAACGAGATGCTATCAAGAATAGAACATTGTGGGGTTGGTTTTTCTTGGCGGTGGTATCCAGATTTGCATAGTTTGCATCTCAAATGGGAGTGTCCACGCCAGGACCGGAAGACCCAGCTACAAACTCCCCGGTCTCTAAAGACCAGGTCTCCATCACACATCTTCCGGGGCACCGCAAGTATTCTGAGCTCCAACAATGCCAGCAGCAACCTTTATAGCGATGACCGTTCGTACATCAATCTTTACGCCGCCGTGCATCGGTCTTTGTGCCGCCGTAATAGAGTAGGTGCATGCTGCGAACATCAGCTTTTTATTGTCCATTGTCAGTGCCTCGATCTCCTGAACAGAGGGGGAGATTGTCTATAACTTTTCTCCCAGACAACGTAGGTGATATTTTTGTGTGCCTTTGACGGGGTCAAAGAGAGTGTTCAGACGATCATGCACCTTGCTTGGAATTCGGTGCACGTAATCCGTTGAAATTACAAACATTGAAAACTGCAGCACTCAGAACATGGACGTTTTCTGCGGCTATCGCCAGCTCCTGGATCTCCTGAACCGCGACATTCTGAGCATTGATTTCTCGAATCCAAAGTCTCTTAACTTTGACATTGTACCAGACCTTTGACATTGTATCGGCCGAAAGGGCCTCGAACACCTGAACGTAGGCCAACTTAGCGCCGAATATTTCAACATCGACCTTCTGTGTCTCGGCTTCCCGAGTTCTCAGGTCTGGACCTTGGCCTTCTGAGCATAACCGCCGGATCCTTGAGCCAACCTTCAAGAAAATCGCAGGAAAGCCTAAAGATTTGAGTTTTTATGGTCTCTAACTTTGCCTGGAAAATTTGGGCATTATTTGCATCTGTGCAGTTTTGTTCACTGGTGCTTCCATTTAACAGAAAACTAGGCATATTTTTCTCGTTAGGTAAGTAACAAGTTCGATTATCAAGGCTTTCCGGGAGGTTCTCGCTCCCTGAATATCGATTTTCCATCAGATTCCTTCACCCAGACTAATGAGCATGGGTTGATGACTAGATGAGCCAACTTCGAAGAAAAACGTAAGGGCCACCCTATAGCCATCATTTCGTCCAACCATTTCAACCTACCTCTTCACAAGATGCGTGATGATCATTTTCACATTCCATTTCCATCGTTTGTCTTGGGGTTTATTAGTGTTTTCATTTGATATGCAGCGCGTCCTACGCATGCTGTAACGCCGTTACACAAGCGAAACATTCTCTTAGATAGTTTTCCTACGTGATTTCGCCGTTCTAAAGATGGTCCATATGGTTTCTGCAGCCATCAAAACGAGCATCGGTCGACGGTCTAATAAATTGCTATAAAAAAGCCCACAGGCAGCCCCATAGACAAAACGTTTTGCGGATCGTGTACATCTTCCACTCTAGGCAAGGTAGGTCATATCTGTAGGCATCGCTGCCTTTGCATCAACAGGAGTTTCCACGAGATGATGCAGCTGGCCAGAATTTTGACTTCCTCGGGGAGATATTGGTCCGTAAAGTGCATGAGTGGTGCCAAATCTAGGCTGAATCTGGAGTAAGATACGCTGCAATATTGTTCCAGGCTATAAATTGATAGGATAATACGGGTAATTTATGTATCATTCATAACTAAGTATACAACGCTGAGCATTTGACGTAAAAGCTGTCTACTGGATGTCACTCTATAGAATCCAATTTCATAACAAACAGAAGTGTTCCACATTGCTGTTTTGACCTGAACTAGCTATCTTGAGGACCTTTCGATACTGCTCACAATCCTGCCCTTTTTAAGACATTAGCCTCTCTAGTTTCAGAGCTATACGCCCACGACAGTGGGAAAGCTGCATCGGCAGAGTATTTCAAGGTCATCTTGGTATCCATGACGTAACCTTGTCGTCATTCAAATTCTGTCATTCCATAAGCCATGCAGTGATTAATACGCGCACGGGTGACCGGTTGGACACCCTTCGCTGGGTGGGAGTCAATTTGACGCTGTGAGATCCCAGGAACTAAGAAAGAATACACAAAACTCACAGGGTGTATTGACCTATACGTGAACTCACTTAGATTAAATATTGAGTCTCCTAGGTCATGAACTTTGAGTGAAATCGGGTCAAACAATGTCAAATTCCAGGGTAGTCTCCAAAGGGCTCCTAGAATATAGATAACTGTTCTAAGCAAAACCTCACATACCCATTTCACGTCAGTGACCTTGTTTGACATTTTGAAGATCATAGTGACGAAAATCATACAAGACCGCCTTAACTTTTGCATTGGGATAAGCGACAAAGATTGCGCTAGGCATATGTTCCTAAAAACAAAATGCCAACCTGGGTCATTCTAGGTCACTGACATATTCAGACCTTACGGAAGTACATGGAAGGTGTATAATACGGTTCCAGTTATCAATAAATTCGAAATAAGCACCAGGAACTACCCCATACAGCAAACGCTAGAGTAATAAAACATGTTGTGATTGACCATTGTCTGACCCTCATACCTGACCTTAGGTCAGTGTAATTTGTTCATTCAATAGCTGTGTTGGCTAAGAAAGCATCTTAGAGATGTATGGCTTCGTCTAACACTCTAACGTTGTTGGATAAGGCTGAACGATTCCTTCGAAATTGCCTTCGCTGAAACCATGGCCTTACTTTGACCCACCATAGGTCAGCGACCTTGCAAGGACATCTAAACGTTTGATCCCCGACGATCCGCTATTCAATTTTCTACAGCTATGCAAAATTTGACGCGACTACGCCGTGTCGTTCGGAAATTATTCCACAAAAACATTCGGGGGAGGGGTCAATTTCCCCCCTCCCCCGAGCGTGTGTTAAAGCCAAACAAATCTTATTGTCGGGGCGTTTATATCTGACATTCGGGAGCGCGATTTCCAGATGTGACATCCGTCAATTGGCTTCCAATCGATGTTGTGCAAGGTGCAATCACGTAATCAAGCTATGACGCACTGAGGAGCATATTTACTACACAGAGCATAATGTTGTCTACAACAGTCTTTTCCACTTAAGAAGCATATCAACAGTTATAAGTGAGCTTATGTCATCATATCCAGCGCTTGCTTGAATATTTTCAAATGTAGAGCATTCTATTTCAAGCGTATCTTGTTTAGTTTAAACCCGACCGAACTCATATTTGCGTCATGTTTCACATGTGTATTCAACGTCCGAATCGTTCACAACAAATGCGGCTCTTTGTCTAGCTCAGCTCCATGGAAGCGACACCAAAAATCACGGAAAAGAAATACCAAAATCGCATCGCAACCTTAATGCCTTCAAACTTTATTATTCAACGTGAGTAAAGCGCCGCTTTATTGGATCGGAACAAGCTGCGTGTACACACATTCTGAACGCCTCCGATGTGCCATGTCGGCACTGTACTCTACATTCTGCCCGGTATGACTGAGCAGTGCTCCGTCTGCCATCACCACGCTCGTAAACAAGGGCTGCAGTTAAGGATTTCACCTCGTCAATGCAAATGTCATCGAACATTTTAGCTCGTTGATCTTTGGAGGGACGGGAATGATCGACTCCCCTCTGCTTCCTGATCCGTGTTCACCGCTATATAGGGCGATCAAAGGTAACCTAAGCATATTCTGTTCGGCGCCCCTCGCCAATCATGCGTCTGCTGACACTGATTGTCGTGTTTTGTCTGGTGCTGGTGACCATTGAGGGTGAGTTGCTGGTGCTCTTCTTGGTGAAGTTCGCCCGAATTGGTCGAGGCTGTTTGACAGCGAAGGAATGATTAGAAATGACAAGGAAAAGGTCGATAAGGTAGCTGTGGGAGCATTCTGTCAGTCGGGGCGCCGCAGTACTGAACGGAGGGCTCCTTGCGCCAGTGCTGTGAACGATATAAACTGTTGCAAGTCCACCTTCAAACAAGAAATCAAATCCATGAAGTGGCTTTGAGGTCTGCAAGATACTTAAAGAGAGCGTAATGCTGTTGAAAAACATTACAAAGCCATGCTCTGATGATCCATTGAAACCTTGTCATTGAACCACTGTCATTAATCTTAACAGCACGCAGCGGCGCGGAGGTTTCGTCAAGAGGATTTTATCAGCACATTCATGTTTTGTTTCTTAGTCAAACTTATGTGGTCAACATTTCAAAACGATGCAACCTTTTTATTGGACGACACTGGCGCACGCAGACAGTACCGGGAACATCAGGCTCACGGTAGTTCTCGGTAGTTGAAGTTTCTTCGTAGTTCAACTTTCTATGTAGCTCAAGTTCATACTTAGCATGTGAATTGCAAAGGAAGGCTGCCGTAGCATGAGTGTTATCTCTTTCTACATGCGATGGCTACGTTTCCAAAGCTATCGCGGGCTTTTTATAGAAAGCCATTTTCATCTCAAATAATAGTCTGGTTACCGAAAACAATCAAGACATAAATCAATGAATAAATAGCAAAGCATTGACACTGTTCCACCGGCGAAAAAGGTATTGTTCTTAACGTCCTATGTTCCATTGGTGCCAATAGCATAAAAGGCACAAGGTAATGTATGACGCCAATATAGGAATAAAAACGTTATTGTGTTGTGCCACTGCCGTGATGGCAAACACAAATGTGGTTTACCGGGTTGAGAAATGTGCTTACATTGTTGTTTCATCCATTTGTTTCCCTAGTTCAGCACGTCAGTATGTATGGTTTACTGGGTCACAAAGTCGCCGGATGATTTTTAATACACTTGAGCCAGGCACATAGAGAGTGGAAAGTTTGAAGAAATGTACGACCTTTCTTGTCGTTCCTATACCAACGCCCACATCCTTGAATACATCAGTCCCTTAACACGCGCTCGGGTGGGAGGGGTCAAATTGACCCCCTCTCCGAAAATTTTTCCCGAATGGTTCCCAACAATTCCCGGTTCCTGATCCGCAAAGATGAAAACTGTTGCAAAACAAGCTGCAAAAGTGAAGCCAGCAAGAGGAGTCTTTCTAGGGTGGCAAGGAACCATTCAAAGGTAGAAGTTAATGTGGTCAGGCAGTGTATCGGATCCTTTCTTTGTACATGATGGTATGCGTCAAGGGGGTAACGTCTTACCACTGCTGTTCAATGTGTACATAGTTTAGCCTCTTTGTGAGTTGCAAATGTTACCAATCGGTTGTTATGTGGTGAAATGTACAGCGAATGAACTAGTCTCTGCTGATGACAGGGTGCTTTTATCTACTACGAGGAGAGGGCCTGGAGCGTTGCCTCGGAGGTGCAAAGGATTTACCATGCGCAGGAATATTCAATTCAATGTAAAGAAAGCTGTGCATGTTTTTCAACTCTCAAAGGTCATATACAGTGTCACACCTGTCTAACTCAAGCTCCCAAACATCATTGTTAATGAATACATAATAGCATGAGCGGAGGAGCTTAAACATAGGACTTTTAGTGGCCAGTTCCCTCAGTGGCAGTCAAGTTATGCGAAGAGTCAAATGTTCCTTGTAGGACCGCATAAAACTTTCAACTATCTGTTCCAAGCATGTTATACTAACGTGTATATTGTGAACTGTGCAACACTGTGACTGGAAAGAAAGGATTTCAAGAACGCTGTATGGCCTACCGCTTATGGAAAGAGGAGCTGGTAAGGGTGCCACGGTGGACAAGGATTCATTATCTGTGTAAAAAGCTTGACACCTCTACCTATGGATGCCTGGGAACAACATCTATGGATATGTGGGAAACGATCTCACCTTAAGCAGTGCTTGTTGTGTGAGCTCTGACCCCCACCATCCGATCGCGCGATTCCAGGCAACGGCAGAATTTAATGGCGTAAGTTTAACGTGCCGCAATGCTCGGCACGGTCCGTCCTGCCCTCTGACGTCACCTCACCTTTATCGCGGCCGCTGCCACCGGCCGCAGGCAATACCTGACAATGGCAAATGGAGAGCGCTCAAAACGACTCGAACGCACCCCGGCATGGGTGGCTGAATCGGAAGGTAGGGGCTCCAACCAACTCAACCAACGGGACGGGAAAGTCTTGTCCCATGTTAGTACCTATTTAGTAGCTGGAGTTCAACCAAAGACTCGTGTCCATTGAGAACAGCATTGTTGAGGTTTTCAGCATTTGTTTGAGGTTGAGGTTGAGGTTGAGGAACAGAATTCGCATGTAAGCGAAGTAGGGGTTAGTGGGGTCATTGCCAGGACATATGCGCATGTCAGACATGCATATAATGTTATGGCATCGAACCTCCGGCAGTCAGCAGGTCACATGTTCGGAACATCTTTTCGCCCACCTGGGTCGGTTTGACCGTGATCGCCACCAAATGCACCAAGTAGGTCATGACCCAGAATAATGTCCTCCGACCTTTCAGGCAAGTACTGAGTGCGTTGCCTTCTGTCTTGCTTTATGTTTGTGAGTGTGCTGCGTTTTTCCTGTATGTGCGAAGATAGGTACCAGTCTGATGGTGGAAAAAGAACTGGATTATTAATATCATTATTGCTATTAAACCAGACGTCTTTGATCTACCTATCCGTAAAAGGTACAAAAAAGTAAGATGATCCCTTTCAGACCCCCAAGGGGCGTGGGCATCAGGTATCGAGGCGGTATTCGCCCCCGAACGCACCCAGGAGAATCACGCTCCTGTGAGCAGTCACGATCATATGGTGTCAAATCTTTGATGGTAAAATAGCCTTTTGGTTCTCTGGAGCAATGTATACTCATATGCCAAATCTACGTCACAATTTCCAGCATTTCAGACCGTCATGCAAACAGAAGTTATATCGTACTGAGTGACTCCATGAGTTCAAGGACGCTTAAGTCCTGGCAGGTTTCAGTCGTATTGGGAAGTAACCAACTCATGCATTGCAGGTCGAAAATGTTACAAATTCGGCCAGGCGTGCGGAAGATGGAACAGGGATGTCTGCCGCTGGTGCCGGAAACCTCACAAGCGTCTCTGCTGTCGCTCGGGCGACACCTTCGGTACGTTCCAGCCGTTGCCGCCTGGTGCAGAGCAAACGTGTTACCATGGTGATGTAGTTGTGACGCTATGGAATACGAAACTTCAGTTCAGATTAAGGGTTATTGGTGACATGTTCATGAACTGTTGTCATGCATCACATCGAAAGCTCACAATGCAAGGTCTTCCCTTACGAGATGTGCTATTCGGCTTAACACGTGCTCGGGTGTGGTGAAGTTGGCCCCGATGTTTTGTTTTTTTAATGGATTGCGAACGGCGCGGCGTAGTTACGCCCAACCTTGCATAGCCGAAGACAATTAACTGCTGGATCTTTTGGTGTACCAAAATTAAATGTACCTTGTGACGTCGCTGAGCTATTGCAGGTCAAAATCAGGCCGTGGCTCTCAGCAAAGGCCATTTCGAGGAAATCGTTCATTTGTTAACTTTATAAACACAACTTCCATTAAACAAAGCCAGATATAAAGATCAGACCGAGGCCAAAACCAAGCTTTTTTATTCGAGGGCTTGCTTGTTGAGGTAGTTTCTGGCGACCATTTTGAAATTGACAATGGTTGGACATACATGATTCATGGACTTATAAAAGGTCAGATTTGGTCACTGACATAAAATGACGAAGATTGATGTTTTGCTTGTATAAACGTACTGTCTATGGATGTTAACGAATGTTTAAGATGCCAATAGCGTTTGGACTGTGTTCATTTTCAGATCATAGCATACTCATATCAGATGCGTTTTCGCGTCGAGAGCATAGGAAAATTGCTATGAATAATACGTGCTTATATTTACGATAAATGACGAAATATTTGTTGATGTCACACACCATTTATTTTATAATATCCACCATGCACCCATTGTGACAACCGATCACTCTCTCATTTCAGAGGAATGCAAAGCGAAATGTCACTACCCCTATCAATGCCGCACATTAGGAGGAAGATGCACCAAAGGATGGTGCTGCCCTCTGTACTTTCTGTAGACGGCCGCCACGTCGAAGACATCGATGTTTCAGGTGCACTATATTTCATGACCGCCCATCGCGAACACCGCGCCTCAACTCCTCGTGGACGCTGACAGGGAAACAAAGAAACCTCGGAAATGGACAGACTAGAACTAGAACTAAACAGAGCGGAAACAGACTGAACAGATACTAAAATTAGCAATACAAAATGAATACGAAAATAGCATGGAATGATTAACACTAAATTAGATCTCAAGATGATAGCAAACCAAGTGACTCAACAAACGAGAAGCGATCACTAATTCAAACTAGGAATGCAAACGGTGCACCGACTACATTTCGAAGCCATTCATAGACGGGTAAGTTGTACCGGCGAGTACCGGCTGCCAGTGTCGTTAAGGGATGGATAAAACTATAATGATCTTGATCCATGCGTACGATAATCTGTCACTGCATGCACATGTAGTTCATATTTTATGTTGGCGATAGCTTAACAAGGCGGCGTCGTGTATATATTTGCACGTGTTGCACCAGTTGAAGACATCGAGGCGACGGCTCGCAAAGGGTGACCGTGGAAGCACGGTATCGCGGAGAACGCCATACCGCAGTAGTCTTCCCGCAACAAGTACCTAACGAGATGCTATCAAGAATAGAACATTTTGGGGTTGGTTTTTCTTGGCGGTGGTATCCAGATTTGCATAGTTTACATCTCAAATGGGAGTGTCCACGCCAGGACCGGAAGACCCAGCTACAAACTCTCCGGTCTCTAAAGACCAGGTCTCCATCACACATCTTCCGGCGCACCGCAAGCATTCTGAGCCGCAACAATCCCAGCAGCAACTTTTATAGCGATGACCGTTCGTACATCAATCTTTACGCCGCCGTACATCGGTCTTTGTGCCGCCGTATTCGGGTAGGTGCATGCTGCGAACATCAACATTTTATTGTCCATCGTCTGCGCCTCGATCTCTTGAACAGAGAGATTGTCTATAACTTTTCTCCTAGACAACGTAGGTGATATTTTTGTGCGCCTTTGACGGAGTCAAAGGGAGTATTCAGATGATCATGCGCCTAGCCCGAATTTCGAATAGCCAGGAAAAATATTGTTCGTAACGGGAGATCCCTTCACTTTTTTATTGCCAAATCTAGGAAAATCCGAGCCTTGGCTGAATGTGTGCAAACTTCCGCCACTCTGTCCTCTGATGTATCTCTCATTGATAAATTGTGTCGAAAAATTCCTGTTCTTATAGCCCATACATATGTAGAGCACTGCACAAAATACATGGCACCATTAATAAACTGCATTTCCTTCATAAACATTAGCCAATAGCGGAGTATTTAACGCAAGAGGCGTCGTCCGACTGCCACTCTATAAAAACGATTTTCGGAATCACACCATATCTTGTTTACCTCAAACCTGACAGAGCACATAGTTGTGCCGAACCACAGGTGCAGATTCAGAGTCTGAATCTCCTAAACAAAATGGAGGCCGCCGTCTGGATCGATCACGCGGGAGCGAGAGCAATGATCACGAGAGCGAAACTGCGAAATCAGATTCCTTCCTCTTCCTTACCACTTTGAACCTGTTTACATCACTTTTTCAAATTACCTGAAATGACTTGAACAAATGGTCAGTAACATAACGTGCTAAAAACGCCGATTTCTGAAGTGATGATGCATATCATACACAGGACTCTCAATGCTTTCGGGATCATACTACGTGCCTAGTCTAATCCAACGTCGCATAGCGTCGGACCATTTTCATAGGTCACTCACGCGGGCATGACGCACACTCATGCTGCATGGGCATACTTCACACGGATATGATGCACACCCCCGTGAGTGTCCTGGGCTGTGTAAGGACACTAATGAGGGTACCTGTCATGAACGGGGCTGTGTAAGGACACTGATGAGGAGACCTGTCGTGAACGGGGCTGTGTAAGGACACTGATGAGGGTATCTGTCGTGAACGGTGCTTTGTAAGGACACTGATGAGGGATATGTCGTGGACGTAACCATGAGCGCAGCGTTTAGTGGCGGCATCACCAGCAGCACAAGCGGAAGGTCTGGACCGACGCCCTGAGAGCATACCGCCTCATTGTCGCTGTGCAGCTGCGTGGATACTGCATGGCAACAAGCCACACCAGGAGCTGAGCGACCACATGGAGTCAGCCTGAGGGCACTGGACGGGGAGGACATGGATAGAGTTCTTGGTAGAGAGACGGTACACGGGAACGTCACAGAAACGATCGTAACAGGGTTCGTGACATTGAGCATCAGTAGGATGCAGAAGCGTAATCGCCGTCACTTTAGCCCCCGAGGATCCCCATTGGCGGTGTTTGTACAAGGTTTATCTACGGCTTTACACTGTACCAATCTGCGTGGATACCACTGTTTTTCGGCTAGCACTATTTTCTAGATAACAGACAGTCTCCTTTCAAGTCAAAATCCCTTTCATTGGGTTTTGGCAGCTTTTGGGGAATCACATTATGAGCCTACCAATATTTCCTTGTGTCATCGTGTGTTCTCCTCGAAATTAAGTTACAATAGCATAATTTGTTTTGTTTGCATTTGTTAAATTTGTTCATTCCTTGTCAATTGCATAATTTGCTAATTTGTTTAATCCTTTTTTTCTCCTGGATATAAAGCTACAGTAGTGTGATTCGTGAGCGAATTTATCGCACCTTTGAACAGATGTGTCTCATTCATAGTGTGTCGTACTGCGGCGACGAGTTTCTGAGTGTCATAGCGTGTCACTCATAGCGTGTCGCACTGCGGCGACAAGTTTCTGAGTGTGATAGCGTGTCACTCATAGTGTGTCACATTGCGGCGATGAGTTTCTGAGTGTCATAGCGTGTCACTCATAGTGTGTCACATTGCGGCGACGAGTTTCCGAGAGTCATAGCGTGTCCCTCATAGCGTGTCGAATTGCGACAACGAGTTTCTGAGTGTAATAGTGTGTCACTCATAGCGTGTCGCATTGCGGCGACGAGTTTCTGAGTGTCATAGCGTGTCACTCATAGTGTGTCACATTGCGGCGACGAGTTTCTGAGTATCACAGCGTGTCACTTATAGCGTGTCACAATGCGGCGACGGGTTTCGGAGTGTCATAACGTGTCACTCATAGCGTGTCGAACTGCGGCAACGAGTTTTTGAGTGTCATAGCTTGTCACTCATAGCGTGACGCATTACGGCGACGAGTTTCTGAGTGTCATAGCGTGTCACTCATAGTGTGTCACATTGCGGCAACGAGTTTCTAAACGGACACTTTAGTACATTCGATGGTACATCTCTTTTATATACCTTCATATACCTTATATACCAATACCTTACGATATTCTAAAAACATGCGGCGTGTGTTTAGCGCATCCTTCTATATGTTGACTATTTATAACACATGCAGCTGCTGCGAGTGGTACCCTTACAATGAGAACGAGAGGACAGGAAACGCAGGCATCGCTCAATGGAGGTGATTTTAGTGACACAAATCAAGCTCGACGTTTGATTTTCGATTTGATCCTCATGCTGCGTCATGCATAAAAAACAACAGCAGAAATGAGCTCGTTGCCATCGAAGTTCTCTCTACAACCGTCTCACACGACCGTCTTGGTCAGCAACATAAAAGTTCGAAACTGGATTAGCATTCTGAATTCTGAGAAATGTGCAAAGATGCGCCAGCAGCAAGACAAGGAAATTTGGCCCTCCTAACTACATTTAACTGGTTACAAAGAATATTTCCATGACTCTTTCGTGGCAGCTGACATTGCAGGGTCTCATATAAAAAGTACGAGGATGACAACCATTCCACACGTGCGCGGTCAGGTGGAAAGCGTTTTCTACAGTGCATGCGTCGTGTATGTAGCACATGTTTATATAACTACGGTATATAACACATGCTGCCTCCGTGAGTGGCACACCTTCAGTGAGTGCAAGAGGACACTGCACGACATGCATCGATCAATCGGGATTATTTTCGTCATTCGTAAACATCTTTGACCTTTGACCGCCGACTTGACCTTGAATTTGACCCATTTGTGAAAACTATGTGCAGAAATAGACTCCCTGTCATGGAAAATCTGTCAAAAATGGTGCAAAACGACCTTCTAATCCATCGATAGAAGGAAAAAAGTTGAATTTGGACAAAAATTCAAGATGGCGGTGGCCACCGTCTCGAGTTTTGCGCTAAGCTCAGATACCCAAGTGGTTACTAAGCCAATTTGGATCTCCAAGCTACAGGGAACATATTTCCGTGAAAAAGTCCGCGGTAGTGCACATTGCAGGGTGTCATCAAGGAACCATCAAAATGGCAACTCGACTATTAACACCATTCAACATCATAATTCAGCGAGGTGACTAACGCAACGCTTGATCACAAGTCGGTCGGTACGTCCCATGTACTTACATTCTGAATGTGTTGCGTGGGCTATGTCGGCATTGTCCTCTACGCCGTTCCCTGTGTGACTAAGCAGTAATGGCACGTTCGTAAACAAAGGTTATGGCTGATGATATCACCTTGTTCTTGGAAATGTCGCCGGACATGAAAGGCTCGTTTGTTGACCTTTGGAGGGGACGAGATGATTGACACTCTTTCCGCTTCATGGTCCGTTTTTGCCGGTATAAAAAGCGACCAAAGGAAACATGGGCATATCCTGTTGAGTCGTCTCTCACCAACAATGCGTCTGCTGCCATTGATTGCCGTGCTTTGTCTGGTGTTGGTGACCACTGAAGGTGAGTTTCTGGCGTTTCTCTCGGCAAAGTCCTGTTGTGTTGGTCGCGACTCTTTGGCAAGGGAGGTATTTGACAGACATGACGAAAAAAGATCCATGATGAGACCTTGAAAGTATTGTGTCAGCCGGGGCGTCATAGCACCACACGGAGAGCTCTCGGTCCACGTTCTGTAAGGAGATTTCAAAGTCACGCTGTGATGGACCCTTGGGATGGACTCTATGTAATGATTATATTTGTGCTTCGGGCAGCTAAGTACAAGTGTTGGTGTGTGGTACAACCATGAAAGTGCATAATTCATTGAAAGTTATTCCATCATAATGCACTGCCAATTTCCACCTTCATCACCGACTTTCCATGGTTGCCAACGCAGATACCACTGGTAGGTGGGAGCGGCAGGCACAGCATGTCCCCAAAAATAGCTGGTGGGCCTTCTGCCCCGCTTTCATATTTTCTGTGAGAGCTATGGTGTACGCGTCTGCACAAAAAAAAACTGTCAGCTTTAGGTCTCACTGCCTCGCTTTTCTAGGTCCACTTTTCGTTGTTTGCCATGTTATGTCAGGTAAGCTGGTATGCTAATGATAGGGCTACTTTGGAGCAAACTGTCTCGCAAACTGTAATCTGAATACGCATCTTGGCAAACTATCCACCTGCTAAAATGACCCGTCCGAAGCTGCTACTCATAGTAGTAGCTGCTATATTGAGCAGAGTCGTCCTGGTCGACTGAACCACTCCAAGATATCTTTTACCGGCACCCTGGCATTTGCACCAACCGGGTGGTGCGAAATCAACCGGATTTTTAATATTATTGTTCCTATTAAACCGGGCGTGTCTGATCTAAATGTCAGTAAAAGATGCAAAAAGGTAAGACGATCCTTTTCAGACCTCCGAGAGATGTGTTCGTGAGGTATTAGGTGGGCAACCACACCTCAACCAACCCAAGAGAATCATGTATACCCTGTGGGCAGTCACGATTGTATGGGACCAAAGCTTTGACCGTAAAAGAGCCTTCTGGCTCCCTTCAGCAACGCATTAGGCCGCCAGCCATATGTCAGATCTGTACCTCAACTGTCAGCACTCCAGACCGTCGTGCATACAAGCATTGTATCGTGCTAAATGACTCCTTGAGTTCTAGCACGTCAAAAGTGTGGCAGACTTCAACCGTAAACAGAGGTAACCAACCGGTGCATTGCAGGTGGAAGGTGTCGCAAATTCGGCAAGGCGTGTGGAATAGGGAACAGGGATGTGTGCCGCTGGTGTTGGAGGCCTCACAAGCGTCTCTGCTGTCTTCCGGGCGACACATACGGTACGTTCCATTCGTTGTCGCCTGGTGATGAGCAGACGTTGTCGCCATGGTGATGTGTGACGCTATGGATTACGAAACGTCAGCTCAAACTAGGGGTCGTTAGTAACATGTTCATAAACTGTTGTCATGCATCACATCGATAGCTTACAAGTAAGGTCTTCCCTTACGAGATGTGCTGTTTAGTTCTAACATAAGCTCGGGTGTGTGTGAAGTTGCCACGGATGTTTGTTTTTTTCAAAATGGATTGCGAACGGCGCGGCGTGGTCACACAGAACTTTGCATAGCTGTAAACATTTAAAGGCTGGATCTTTTGCTATGCAAGAATTAGGCGTACTTTGCAAGGTCACTGACCTATTGCAGGCCAACATCAGGCCGTGACTCTCAGCGAAGACTATTTCTAATAGTGTTGCATTTCTGAACCACTGTGGATTTGTGCTACGCGAAACCCCAGCTAAAGCGGAGGTTGACTGTGAGATACTTATCAACTCATGTCATACATGGCGTCGATCGCTCGCCCATCAGGCTTTCTCTCATGAAGTGCGCTCTTCAGTTTTCTTAGAGATGCAATATGCATTTCGAGCATTGCATTTGCTCATGTTAGCAGCGATTTTTTAGTCATGGGATGGTTGTCATAAATTGCACGCTTCTACATTCCAATTGGCTGACGTTATGTTCGTCGAAGCTATATCAACGTGCTGCAGAGGATTCAACATCCACAAATCCCTGCAAGCGACCGTTCTCTAATTTCAGGTGACTGCGGGAGAAAATGCAGTTTCCCAAATACCTGCAGCACACTCAACGGCGATTGTCACAAAGGATGGTGCTGCGTATACTGCAAAGGAAAACATTGCAGGAAAGGCTAGCTGCACCACTTGCTGCCGGCTGCCGCTGTTGTCAAGGGATGGATAACGACTGCACTGACACCAGATGTGAAGTGACTGCATGTACAAGGAAGACCCATGCTATGCTGGTGGCATAACAGCAAGGTCGCACGTAATTCTCAACAGGCGTTTATGCGAGCCGGACATTTAGCTGTTTGTAGTTGGGCTGTACGTTGAATACAATTACGGAGCCATCTATTTGGTAGCATCTGTTTTGCCAACTCAGAAGGCATCGGCGCCGGTCCGTAAAGCATGGGTATTGTGGCGGGCAGTGCGAACGACACCTGGTCATCTGACAAACGTGTTCTCGACGCCCTCAGGTACAAAGCAGGTCATTTTCAGGTTGACAAAATGCCCATATCAGCGTCACATAGACGACCGGTCCAGACACAGACTCCTTTCCCGCTTAAGGTTTTGGAATTCGATACATGTAATTCGTCGAAATGGAAAACATTGAAAACTGCAGAACTCAGAACATGGACGTTTTCTGCGGCGATCGCCAGCTCCTCGATCTCCTGAACCGCGACATTCTGAGCATTAATTTCTCTAATCCAAACTCTCTTAATTTTGACCTTGCACCAGACCTTTGACATTGTATCGGCCGAAAGGGCTTCGAACTCCTGAACGTAGGCCACCTTAGCTCCGAATATTTCAACATCGACCTTTTGTGTCTGGGCTTCCTGAGCTTACCAGGTCTGGACCTTGGCCTTCTGAGCACGACCTCCAGATCCTTGAGCCAACCTTGAAGAAAATCGTAGGAAAGCGTTAATATTTGAGTTTTTCATGGTCCCTAATTGTTGCCTGGAAAATTTGGGCATTTCTTTGCATCTGTACAGTTTTGTTCACTAGTGCTCCCGTTTGACAGGCAACTTGGCATGTTCCACTCGTTAGGTAAGTAAAAAGTTTGATTATCAAGGCGTTCGGTGAGGATTTTGCTCCCTGAATATCACTTTTTCATCAGACTCCTCCATCCAGATTAATGAGCACGGGTTGATGACTAGATGAGTCAACTTCGAAGAAAAACGTAAGGGCCACCCTATAGCCATCATTTCTTCCAACTATTTTAACCTTCCTCTTGACAGGATGCGTGATGATCATTTTCACATTCCATTTCCATCGTTTGTTTTTGGGTTTATTAGTGTTTTCATTTGATATGCAGCGCGCCCCACGCATGATGTAACGCCGTTACTCAAGCGAAACATTCTCTCAGATAGTTTTCCTACGTGATTTTGCCGTCCTAAAGATGGCACATATGGTTTCTGCAGCCATCAAAACGAGCATCGGTCGACGGTCCAATAAATTGCTGTAAAAAAGCGCACGGACAGCCCAATAGACAAAATGTTTTGCTGATCGTGTACGGCTTCCACTCTAGGCAAGGTAGGCCATATTTGTAAGCATCGCTACCTTCGCATCAGCATGAGTTTCCTCGAGATGATGCAGCTCGCCAGAATTTTGATTTCCTCGGGGAGATATTGGTCCGTAAAGTGCAGGAATGGTGCCAAATATAGACTGAATCTGGGGTCAGATACGCTACAATATTGTTCCAGGGTAAAAATTGATAGTATATTATGGGTAATTTATGCATCATTCATAACTAAGTATGCAACGCTGAGCATTTAACGTAAAAGTTGTCTACTGGATGTCACTCTAAAGAGTCGCTGTGTTAGACGCTACAGGGGAGAAATCAAAGCCATAGTACGACATTTCATGTAATTCCCGTGCTAACGCCCACATAATTGAATACATCAGTCGTTTAACGCGCGCTCGGGTGGGAGAGGTCAGATTGACCCCCGAAAGCTTTTCCCGAATGGTTCCGAATGGCGCGGCGTAGCGGCGCCAAATTTTGCATAGCTGTAGACAACTGAATAGCGGATCGTTTGGCTGACAAGGAAAATTAGATGACAATTGTCCCGGTCCCTGATCAGATGATGTTATGAATGTCCCTGAAAGATGAAAAACTGTTGCAAAACAAGCTGCAAAAGTGAAGCCAGCAAGAGGAGTCTTTCTAGGGTGGTAAGAACCCTCAAGGTGGGAGTTAAGAGGTCAGACAGTGTATCGGATTCCTTTCTTTGTACAGAATGGTATGCGTCAAGGGGGGTAACGTCTCACCACTGCTGTTCAATGTGTACATAGTTTAGCTTCTTCGTGAGTTGCAAATGTTACCAATCGCTTGTTATGTGGTGAAATGAACAGCAAATGAACTAGTCTCTGCCGATAACACAGGTGCTTTTATCTATCACGAGGAAAGGGCTTAAAGCGTTGAGTCGTAGCTGCTAAGTATTTGTCATGCGCAGGAATATTCAAATCAATGTAAAAAAACTATGCATGTTTTTCGACTCTCAAAGGTCATATACAGTGCCACACCTGTTTAACTCTAAGCTCCCAAATATCATTGTTAATGAATACATAATAAGATGAGCGGAGGAGCTTAAACATAGGCCCTGTAGTGGCCAGTTCTCTCAGTGGCAGTCAAGTTATGCGAAGAGTTAAGGTTCCTTGTATGACGGCGTAAAACTTTGATCTAACTGTTCCAAGCATATTATACTAGCGTGTATATTGTGAACTGTGCAACACTGTGAGTGGATAGAAAGGATTTCAAGAACGCTGTCATGGCCTACCACTTATGTGAAGAGAAGGCTGGTAAGGGTGCCACGTTGGACAAGGATTCATTATCTGTGTAAAGAGCTTGAACCTCTACCTATGAATATCTGGAAACAGCTTCTATGGATATGTGGGAAACGATCTCACCTTAGCAGTGCTTGTTGTGTGAGCTCTGACCCCTACCATCCGATCGCGCGATTCCAGGCAACGGCAGAATTTCATGGCATAAGTTTAACGTGCCGCAATGCTCGAGACGGTCCGTCCTCGCCCTCTGACGTCACTTCACCTTTACCGCGGCCGCTGCCACCGGCCGCAGGCAATACCTGACAAGCGCAAATAGCGAGCGCTCAAAACGACTCGAGCGCATCCTGGCATGGGTGGCAGAATCGGAAGGCAAGAGCTCTAACCTACTGAACCAACGGGACGGGAAAGTCTTGTCCCATGTTAGTACCTATCTAGTAGCTGGAGTTCAACCAAAGACTCGTGTCCATTGAGAACAGCGCTATTGAGGCACTGCACGTAAGCAAAGAAGAGTTAGTGGGGTCATTGCCAGGACATGTGCGCATGTGAGACATGCATAAAATTTTATGGCATCGAACCTCCCGGCAGTCAGCAGGTCACATGTTCGGAACATCTTTTCGCCCACCTGGGTCGGTTTGGCCGTGATCGCCACCAAATGCACCAAGTAGGTCATGACCCAGAATAATGTCCTCCGACCTTTCAGGCAAGTACTGACTGCGTTGCCTTCTGTCTTGCTTTATGTTTGTGAGTGTGCCGCGTTTTTGTTCTGTAAGTGCATAGACATGTACCAGCCTGATGGTGGAAAAAACTGGATTATTAATATCATTATTGCCATTAAACCAGACGTCTCTGATCTACATATCCTTGAAAGGTGAAAAAGGCAAGATGATCCCTTTCAGACCCCCAACGGGCGTGTGCATCAGGTATCGAGGCGGTATTCGCCCCCCAACGCACCCAGGAGAATCACGCCCCTGTGAGCAGTCACGATCATATGGTGTCAAATCTTTGCTCCAGAGAACCAAAAGGTTATTTTACCACTAATGTATACTCATATGCCAAATCTGCGTCATTATTGTCAGCATTTCAGACCGCACGCAAACAGAAGTTGTATCGTACTGAGTGACTCCATGAGTTCTAGGACGCTTAAGTTCTGGAAGGTTTCAGTCGTATGGGGAAGTAACCAACTCATGAACTACAGGTCAAAAATTTTACAAATTCGGCCAGGCGTGCGGAAGATGGAACAGGGATGTCTGCCGCTGGTGCCGGAAACCTCACAAGCGTCTCTGCTGTCGTTTGGGCGACACCTTCGGTACGTTCCAGCCGTTGCCGCCTGGTGCAGAGCAAACGTGTCGCCGTGGTGATGTAGTTGTGACGCTATGGAGTACGAAACTTCAGTTCAGATTAAGGGTTGTTGGTGACATGTTCATGAACTGTTGTCATGCATCGCATCGATAGCTCACAATGTAAGGTCTTCCCTAACGAGATGTGCTATGCGGC